ACCTTCCCAAGGATCAAAGTGAGGCTGACCAGCCGTAGTTCCCTAGGTCTTCCTTCTCGCTCTTCCTGAAGATAGGAATGAAATTTGCTTTTCTTCAGGCACCTGTCTCAATCACCGCAATCATTCAAGGATTATTGAGTGCCCTCACAGTGACATCAGCGAGCTCCCTGAGCACTTCTGGGTGCATCTCATCAGGACCTATGGACTTATGCAAGCCCAGTTTGCCTAAGTATTCTCCAACCTGTTCCTCTTCCACCAGGCATAAGTCTTCCTTGCTCCAGATTTTCCCTTGTCCCTGGGTCCTTAGATTACTGAAAGCCAGTTTTGTTAGCAAAGACTAAGGTGAAGAAGGCATTCAGTACCTCAGCCTTCTTCATGCGCTGTGTCAGCAGGGCTCCTGCCCCATTCAGAAGTCAGCCCACATTTTCCCTAGTCTCCCTTTTACTACCTATGTACTTATAGAAGCCCTCCTTGTTGCTTTTAACACCCCATGCCAGATGCAACTCCAGGTGGACTTTATCCTTCCTAACCATGTCTCTGCATACTCAGACAGTGTCTCTATATTCTTGCCAGGTTAGCTGTCTCTGCTTCCACCTTCTATGTATTTCCTTTTGTCCTGGGTTTGGCTGGGATAGAGTTAATCTTCACAGGAAGCTGGGAAGGAGGCACAGCCAGGACAGCTGACCTGAACTAGCCAAGGATCTATTCCATACCATGTGACATCATGCTCAGTATATAAATGGGGAGCAGGCTGTGGGGCCAGGGGCTCTCCCTCCTGATGTGGGAAGTGTCGGAGTGTTGGGTTCCAGGTGGTGAGAAGTTGCACTGTGCATCACTTGTTTTGTATATTATTTTAATAGTACCATTGTTGTTGTAACTTCTCTCCTTGTGTTGTCCCAGTAAACTGTCCTTATCTCAACCCACGAGGTTCCATTTTTTTCTTTTCTCCTTTCTGATTCTCCTCCCCATCCCACCGGATGGCAGGGTGGGGAGGAGTGAGTGAGCGGCTACATGGTGCTTTGTTACCGGCTGGGCTTAAGCCACAACACCTTTACATGTTTGAGTTTTGCCAGGAGTGGTCCTTGAATATCCACCAGTTTTCTTGGGTCCTTCTTCCCTCCAGGGTCTTATTCCACGGGACTCTTCCAAGCAGATCCCTGAACTCTCCTCAAGCCCAGGCTTATGATCTCTGCCCTGCTCCCTCCTCTTGAGAACCTGAACTCCCATCATCTCTTGGTCACTGCAGCCAAGGCTGCCTTCAACATTCACATCCAAACCAGCACATCCTTGTTTGTGAGTACCAGATCCAGCAAAGGACTTCTCCTTGCTGGTTCTGGTATCACTTGGGTCTGGAAGTTGTCATCAGTGCTCTCCAGGAAGCTCCCAGATTACTTATGCCCTGCTGTGTTGCTCCTCCAGCAGATATTGGGTTGGTTGAAGTCTGCCACAAGGACCAGGGCTTGCAAACATGAGGCTGCTTCTAGCTATCCATAGAAGGCCTGATCCATTTTATATTCCAGGTTAGGTAGCCTACAGCAGACACCCAATACCATGTCACACAGTGTGATCTGCTCTTTAATCCTTACCCATAAGCTCTCGGTTGGCTCATCATTCATCCTGAGGCAGACCTCCATGCATTCCAGCTGCTCTGTCACATAAAGGGCAACTCCCCCTCTTCATCTTCCCAGCCTATCCTTACTTAGCCTGTATCCCTCCGCTGCAGCACTTCGGTTGTGCAAGGCATCCTATCACATCTCCATGATCCCAACAAGATCACAGCCATGAAACTGCACACAGACCTTTAATTCCTCATATTTTTTCCCCATGCTGCATGCGTTAGCATGCAGGCACTTCAAAGAGGCACCGCAGCATGCTTATTTCTCAGAAAGGGTGTGGGTTTCTTCCATATGGTCCCTCACAGGCACTTCCTTGCTTACATGCAAATGCTTCAGAGAATGCTGTAAAGCAATGCTTTAAAGAAGAGAGTCAAAGTGACTCTTAACCATTTAGTATTTATGAATAAGTAATTTATTTTAAGTACGATACTTAGTGAAGAAGTTTCCCACAGCCCCTTTGTGTACCTCTGTGCATTAAGGCTAATTCAGCTGTTCCCACTGCTATTCTAGACTGAAGCCTGCCTGTACTATTCTTAATCTCCTGTGGAGACTCTGCAACTTCTACAGATAACTGTTCCAGAACTTCATTTTTGCTTGCCATATAGAATTTTTAGCTAAAGTCTAGAGTGACTTTTCCTCATAATTTAAGGCCATTACTCCTGGACCTGTCTGCCCTAGAGAGAACAGACTTTTTGTGTCTGTCTTCTCATATTTGAAGGCAGGTGTCATGTTCTTTTCTCCTTCTCCATCCCCTAGTTTTCCTCTTCATTTTGATAAAGGCCTTGTGAGGAAAATTGTAATAAAAATGATGAATTTTATTTGCTGTAGTAAGACTTGCTCTATCATAAAGATGGAATTCTATCTGGTAATTTCTCTCAAGAGCTTTACAGTATAAAACATTGCCCCTTGCTCCCCAGCTTTATTTCAAGGAATATATCTATCTGAGATGCACTACAGAACTTTTTTCAAGCATCTACACACTTCCTGACCAGTTAACATTTTTCACTTCTCAAGTTCTGGTCTCTTTTGTCAATGCTTACACCTCATCCCAAAGAACAACTCAAATGTCTATCAGACAGTAAGCTCCTCATATATTTAAGAAGAATTCTGAACAGATTACTTACCTCCAGACAATACATATCCAGAATCCCTGGCAACACATATAAAACAATACATAAGCAAATAAAGTTTTTTCTCCTTAGGCTGGTCCCTGTCCATGAGACAAAACCCACTGAATCTGTGTTTTCCTAATTCAAAAGCTTAGGACAAGAGAGCTGCTTTCCACAGTTACCTGATGATCAGCTATCTTGGCCCCCCAGCATAACAGCAGTGGAAGCAGATTTTCTGTGCTAACATCCCTGTAGTATTGCTCATTAGACTACTATGCTACACAAACAGACAAGTAAGAGACTTTTTAGAGCAAAGCAGATAATTACATTAATTCATTCTAATGGCCAACTTTTCAACAAATGCAACGAATAAAAGAAAAAGAGTTCAAGACTCTTCACAGTTTACCCCTACCTCCCCCCTGCTCTTTTTTTTTTTTCAAACACACTATAGAGATAGCAGAATATGGTTTTACGCTTGCAAAACCAAGGACACTGATATTTTATTTATACTTTCAAACTATATCTTACAAGGCTGATAGTAATTCATATAACATCAAGTGAAAATTTTGAGCGATACATTGAACAGTAATGTTACAAACGCTGAGTGCTGCTCTGTGCTGCTACCATTGTTTTGGTACTGTTACATTAGTACAGTAAAAAACACTGCGGCATTCCTCGCAATTAAAATGCTGCATTTTGCCTGCACTGGAGACACCATGCTAATGCCACTCCAACAGTTGTAAAGCACTGTTTGCTTTTTTCAGCATCTGCCATATGACTCTCTCCCAGTGAGCCTACCTGCACTTCAGTGAGGCTTACACACTGGTGGGGGTGGGTTACTCCAAAGCCACCTTCTGATCCTATCTCTTCGAGGAATCACTAACTTGGCCTTACCCAAGCACAAAACTTGGTCTGACAGTAAGAATCTGGCCATTACAACCATGCTAAAACTGTACTAGTGAGCAAATGATACTGGCAGATCCAGCCATCACTGGAGTGACAGATACCTATACATCACAGCTGCTTTTCATATACTTTTAACCACTTCCTTCAGACACTCTCCTATTGTTACTCCTATTGTTCTTATCACCTTTTAGCTTATACTTCACTTTTCATTACTATGTGTAAATGCTAAGCATGAACACAAGCTCCAGCCTTTCTCAGTAGTCCACATTCTGATAACACTTATGTGTTTCAATGCTGGAACTAAACATCATCTTCCCCTTCCATAGGGTACCACAGATACTCTCCCATATCTCTGCTGGTTTTGCATGGTTTACAGACAAATTGCTCATCAGTCTAGCATCTAATGAAAGTCTTAGTCTCAAGAACCCCCTTGTTGCAGTTGCACAAAAACAATAATATATTTTATTTGACCCCAAATTTCCACTGTATTGCTTTAGCGAAGTTGGAGCTACAGCCAAGGCCACTATAAAAACGTTTTTGGCTCCAAGTATGCCAAGTGGTAACATTATAGTGTGTAAATCTTACTTCTTTCTAATTTAATGCTTTTCTGAAGTCTGGAATTGCAACTCTGCTTTATTTAATCTCTAACCAGATTTTCAGAAAGAGATGCTTGTACATTTGAAATCACTTATTTACTGTGCATCTCCAATTACTATGTACATGTGCATACTTCAATAATTAATTAGATGAATAGAAATATGCACTAGTATGCATACTTTTGCAAGCCTATCTAGAGCTTTAAGAATTGGCAACTTCATAAGCTAGCTACTGAGCAGATACATTTATTTTGTGACCCGAATGTTATTTCGCACGTTTTAAGTTCTTTAAATGTTGTTATATATCTCTACCAGAGAGGAAAAAAGAAAAAAGAAATTGGAAGAAAAACTTACAGTTCTTAGAGTGTTTTAACTCACATACTTTAAGCCTGTCTAAATACATTTTTAATACTGTAGCCAGTAATAAAAAAAGAAAAAAAATGCTCTCAAAGAAACAATTGAGACCTAAGACCTGAGTTTTACTGCATATAGTAACTCCCCGATGACATTAAAATGGCCAGTGTTTATTTATCCCAGCAACAAATGTGACATATAGTCTAACTCTGTATTTATTGTTTTCTTTAAAAGCTTCAAGTAATTGAATTAACAAAATACATCTCCAATATATTCAGATTATTGTTACACTAACAGGTCAAACACATCAACATTATTTTGTATGAGTGAAAGAACATTTTTGAGAGAATCTTTACATCATTTGAGAAACTGCAATTCCCCCCCCCCCCAAAAAAGTAAAAATAATAAATGTGTACTACCTTGTCACTTTACAGCTTGACTCGATCAGCTCATTTTCAATATCCAACAGACTAGAAGGCAGATTATATTCCAAAGGTGAGGCCATTCTTTTTAAACGCAGTAAGCCAACACAAAATTTTGCTCCCATCTCCTCCAGTTCTCTTGTCCCTATCTGCAATCCCTAATTTAAAAATAAGAATTAAATATTCAAAATAGGTACACGCAGATGGACCCACACATACTGCAGAATTACTATTTAAAACACATTTCATTATTTTATTTAATATACTCTCTTGCTCTAAAGACAGAACAAATAAGAACTGTAAACACTTAACAAGAGTATCAGAGAAAACTCAATAACTACATGACTCCTCTAAGGCTGAACAGACATTTCTGGACACAACCATATTTCTTGGGAGCTTCCTAGTCTACACTTCTAGCACATCAATATTAACAGGACTTTACCCAGTGGCAGCATTGGAAGAGAGACAGAGATCATGTCCGCGTTTATACTTATAAAATTATTTTAAAAACCTGAGACAGAATTTATAAAAAGGAATTCCAAATACTAAGATTTCAAATACAAGATTCTTCAACAGAAGTTCCATTAGAATGAAAAAAATGAGTGAATTCATACTTTAGCTGTGATCAAGTTCATTGCTATGTTCTGATGCATAACTAAGACTATTTAAGGCAACAAAGTAACTCCTTGACACAAACACCTCCTATAAGTGACAGGCTGTATGTGTTAATTCTGAAAGCATTTATTCACACATTTAGTAATTAAAAACAACAAACAAAGTATCAGAAGCCATAGCTGTTTTCTAACTCGAATGATATACCAAGGCATCTTCCTCTTTGTGTAGAACTTATGTAATATTCTGAGTTTACATATGTGATAAAGCCTCCCACCAGATAATTCTACATTTTTAATTTAGCCAGCAGTGCAGTATGTAGGGACAGAACCTCTGACATCAACTACTTTATGAAAAGAATGATAATCCAGTGCGACCCTTAACAATTATGGAATTGGCTAGTACTGACTGTATATACACTAACAAATTCAATGTCACAAGCCAGCTCAATCTACCGCTTTGCAACTTCTGTACCTCAGGAGAATTTAGAAGGATTTTACTTTGGATCTTCTAAGCCTCTTAAGGTAAAGGGTAGTTAAAAAGGAGCTTTGACAAAAACAAGCAGGGAAACAGAACCAGGAATTGGTGGTAAGCTAAGTCATCAAGTAGGAAAACACATGAAGCAAAAAGAATGGAGTAGAAGGTTTTTTTACTAAAAGCTAAAAACCACACACACAAGCTTTGTGTATGTTGCCACACTGACACTGTATTTTAAAATGCAAGGTTTAAAAAAAAGAGTGTTATGCTGCTCCAGAAACGGTACAGTCCGCACATTCTTCATGTACTTCTGTTTTGAACATACGCACACTTAATAAATAGAAAGATTGTGATTTTATTTTTCTTGCGAGTTCTGTTTTTTCCCCTTGGTATTCTTCATGAACAAGGTGCTTTTTAGTAACAAGAAAACTAATGCTATATTCACTAAACAGTGCCATCCTCCAGCCAAATGGTACAGAAACTTGCTAGCAGTGAACAAGAGTTGGATATTTGAGTATGTATTATTGTTAATAGTAATACTACTTACCTCTTTTATAATGCTTTTGTGCTGTAGGTTTCAAAGCACTTTATTAATAAAGGAAGAATTATCCTCACTTTACTGATGGAGAAATGGAGGCAGAGAGGGTTGAAGCGATTTGCACAGTGTCTCACAGCATGTCACTGACCCCGCTGGGAACAGAAATCAGTTCTCCTCACTCCCAGTGCAGTACCTTATCCACAGAGGCCAATTTTTTGTTTTTGTTTTGTATTTGTTTGCACGTCAGTAACATTCGAAGACCCCAATCATAGCTGGGGCTCCACTACGCTAATCACAGGAAGACACAGTCCCTGCCCCAAAGAGATTAAAATAACATTAAGGACAAGAGGCAACAAGTATGCAGAAGAGGAAGGAGAAGGGTAACAGTAATCTCACTGTTACACAGGTTACTAATGTGCATAACTTGATGGTTCAGAAACTTTTCCAATCATTGTCTACATCTGTTGCTGAAGAAGTTACAGTTAGTTGGCAGATTCCTTATAAGACAGTATAATAGGAGTGCTCTAAGTTGAAAATGGACAAGAGTACAGTATAAAAGAAAGTGCAAAGACAATTGTTAGAAAGATAAATAGCGTGTGCATGTTCCACGGCTGCTATTATCACCACAGCAGAAAGAGGATATAACTGAAGAGAGACGTAAACAGATCAGACTGAAGGTGGATAACTGTGAAACAAAGTTTGAACAATAAAGTCTGAACTTACTATACTGAAGGGTCTACATTCTTGTGGTAAAAGTTCATGCCAAAGTCTAGATTTGCTTCTGCCATTTCTTTAAATCATAATGGAGAATGCAATACCACACAGCTGCCAAATACCAAATTTCTTAAGCCACAGTTATTCTTCCATCAGCCAAATCTCTTAATTTCCATGAAACAAGAGACCCAAAGTCTGTTTCAGGAAATAATAACAAGCAGTTGCCCTAACTAATGGACCCAAGGTGAAGTCCATTTTCACAGAAGCCTTCATTACATTCCTCTTCTTGATCTTCTCATCACCTTCAACTGTTGTTATAGCACTTTTAACTGTGGCATATTAAACTTCCTTAAGTGTTAAAGCATTGCTTTGAAGCACAAGCCACCTGGAAGTGGTGCCTTTTTTTTTTGTAAACATGCACCAAATTTCATTTGTTTTTCTTTACATTTTATACAACTGTTTCTTCTAGACAGTAACATTTTAGATGGCTGGTTGAAGTCTTCCTTACTAAGCACATCATGAAAATACCTTCACATGAATAGAGTGTTTCGGTGATGAACTTTGCTACCTGAAAGTAAAGATACACAACAAAGGCACAACTGACTGCGACCTCAAGCTGAGAAGAATATTCCTGTAATATGTACTTAATAAATTGAAAACAGCCATACTAAGATTTGGAGAAGTCAGTTGGACAGTAAAACATCATCTTGTTCTTCTGCTTGCTTATTCAGCAGAGGCTACAAAGATGTGATTATTTCTGATAGCTCAAAATCTAGAGACTGAAGAATCGTGGTAACTGACCAAGTTTGTTGACTGAATCCTTATCTCCTGAAGTCCTCTCTTTATGTGCACCATAAAATTGCAAGATAACAAAATCTTTTCAATTAACTTAAAAATTAAGCAATACTCCCAAACTTATTAATCTCCAATCAGGAAAGGGATTGATTTCAGTTTTCAGGTGGTTTGAATTGTTGAAGAAATTGTTCTTTTGTCTGGCATCTTAATTATCCTCCACAGTAGATCTTGGGAGCATCTTTTCAACTGAACATTTGCTTTTCAGTATCTTGAATCACAGATGACTGAGCAATAATTGCAGCACTAATTCTCAGTGTACTACAAAGACCCCACAAAAACAGTTAAAACAAGATTGGTTCCAGAGATAACTCTGTCACCAGGGATCCTAAATTCAGGTAAGAATTGCTAACTTCAGTTCAACAACTTCCTGGCTGGCAATAGTGTAGCATCACCATTGTCTGAGTAAAATAAAAAAGAGTAAAAAAGAAAAACTGATGTTCTGATATTCCCCAGCTTTGGCAAAGACTCAGCATTTCTTCCACAAAGAACAGAATTGGTGAGTAATCCTCTTTGTGCTTTGAACAAGATTCAGTGATGATGCCAAACCAGAAGACTGGAAAAGTGCTTCAGACCTTTACATTACACACAGTCCAGTCTCTCAGATCCAAAGTGTCATGTCCCTTGGGGTGGGAAGTAGGAAGGGAAGGAATTTCTACAATTTAATTCCTCTCTGTGTTTTGAAATAACCCACTATGAAATATGTCATCTAATTTATACTGCAAGTTTATTTACAGAGTTGCTGGCCCCACTCCCTCCACACACACGAAAAAAGGATGACAGCCTTTATCTCTTTGACCTTCTCATTAGACAAATGTTGCTCTTTTCTTGTTCTGTCTAGTCACCTTCGCCTTTTAGATACATTGTCTTAGTAAGTCTGAGCATTATCATAGTGAGGAAAAAATGAAGAATCTTCCCCTATGTTCAAAGGATGACTAAGTCCTCACAAATTGCTTTATTCCAAATAAAATGAATGACAGAACAGCAATTTGATCTCATCAGCTAGTTTCTATTACAGACAGGAATGCTCTTCCCTTTTGAGTAAATAATTTTTCCACAGAATTCAGCCATTTTTTTCCACCCTTACTGAAGAAGGGCTTTGCAGGTTAAGCATCTTGAAAGTTTGTCCACAAAGAACCTTCAATTCACCTTTCTTAAGAACTTTTGTAGCAACACTACTAAAGCCATGAAGTTCATGTTTAAGAATTTTCTGGAAGTTTCAAAATAAGCAAGTTGGACAAGTTACCTTTTTTTAAAGGTCCATAATGATGTCATCTGAGGAATAATGGAATATTCTGACAATAGCAGGAATAATTTTATCAATTGACAAAATTAACTCATTCATTTAGTAGTTACAGACCTAGTGAAATTCCTGCCAAAATCTATTTTCCTTCTGTATAAGGAGATAAGCATGGGTGTTGGAGCATATATTAATACATTAAATACACCTGGTTCCAACATTATTTTTTTTGTTCCTGCCCCCTCCCTGGCCTTGATCCCAGTCTTCTGATCCTCTTTGTCAAGCACCTTATGTGAGGTTTATGGTCACTTTCTTGATTTGCATTCCTAAATTCTGTTTTCAAGCAGAGGAAACCGTGACTTCTTTCCTGAATGTTCATTCTAAGAACTTGCTTCAATTTGTAGCTAAATTTAACCCAGTGACAGAAGTTGAAAATCAGATGTTAGGGTGGTGGTTCTCCTTTTTTTTTCCCCATGAGTATTTTCTTTGAAGTAAGTTTTCTGTCAGTGAGAAACTATGAACAGGGTCACCTTTTGTTTTCAAATATCCAGCCCTGTTAATACTTTTGAAGGAGACAAATTGACAACAAGTTTTAAGTCAAGAAGTCAAAAACAACTACAATGAGTTCAGAGATGTGTAATTTGTAGTTCTGGTAATCTGATATGAAAGTGTTTTGATTTATAAGCCTGTTTCTGCAGCTACACAGGAAAATCCTGTAAGGGAGACTACTAAGTATCTGATGAAGAGCCATGAACTGCCATGGTGAAGCTGAAATTGCCATTTGTAAAGGAAACTTTTATTCTAGTATTGGCGTTTATTACTACCCAATTTTAATAATCTACTGGAAAGAACAGTTCTGATTTTTTTAACTACATGCATACATGCATATGTATTACAAGCAATAATTAATACTAATCTTGTTAAAACAGCCAATCAGCATAACATATGGGGGGGGGGGGGGTTAAGTGACATATGAAGACTGTTATGCAACCTATAATATTGTAAATTATGTAATTTCACTATAACATTAGTGTACACAGATCTTAGAAGAGTTTTAGAAGTTTAAAGCAAGCAAGCAAGTGGGGTTATACAACAAGATACCAATGCAAATGGAAGAAATTATGAAGCAAGAACAATTTGACAGATGTATTTTCTTACCTTATATTTGCCCTGGTCACATCCACATAATGTGCTTTCCATTGTGTAGCTCCTTTGTACTCCTATCTCTCTCCAGACAACAACTCTCGCTGTTGATTCCTTGGACCTTTCCACTACAAAGCTGCAGCTGCCCATGCAGAATGCTGGGGCAGTTTGACTCAGGATCTTGGGCAGTGCCTGCAGGACAGCAATTTGAGAAATACAGTGATTCTTTTATTTCACTTATGGAAGCAGGGGGGAGGGGAATACGCAATCACAAACTGTTACCAAAAAAATTGCTGCAATTTGAATTCAAAGAACAAGAATGAAAGCATTTCTCCATCTTGAGTTTTCAAAACCCAGTGTGTGTTCAAGTGACAACAGGTTTGCTATTTCCTACTTATTAAAATACTCTTTTTCAGACTCAATCACTAAAATTGTTAGTCATGTGGGTAAGAAACAGGATACAGAAGAGTTCTTCAGGTGATCACCATCCCCTAATTCACTGAGCTAACTTTGCTCAAATTAAGTATACTACATACACCATATAATTAATTTAATTCAGTTTCAGATTGTTTCAACAATCCAATCTACAGACCTAACACAGGCACTATTTTATTAATACATAAAATTCGTTCATATTCAACACAGCAGTAGGCGCACGTTTAACTTCAAGAACGTGAATCAAAGTTCAATATAACTGTTTACATGACAGCTTGGAAAAAGACAAGAAACAGTTAGGTATTTGACTAATGCTAAATGACAACATTATTTCCAGCTTTTATTTGTATCAGTTAAGCCAAAACACATGAACACTTTGAATTTACTATTTCAGTAGTACATATACAATTATTGGTGTAAGCTTGCCCAAACATTTCAGTCTGCCTTTTTGAAACCAAAAGGCTTTTCCCCGCAACTCTTATTGACTAGTCTTCTGTGTGCTATGATAGTGCAGGCTGAAGTGACAAAACCCCATAAAAACGTGTTGAGCAGCAGACATGAACAGCATTGAACTCAGCATCCAGGAAATCACACAAGAAAATCAAGGAAAGATAGAAAATTTTTTTTAAGTGAGGGAAATTTGAGAAAAAAATCCGAAAACATCTGCACTCATTTACACTCACGGATGCATAACAACCGTTTTGTCCTGCATTCACATGCTTCTCAAGCTTAACTCTCTGCACCTCCTCAAAAAAACACGGGGTTTGGACGCATTAGGCTGCACAGATTTGCAGTTGCCACAAGGCGGCAGTGGAGTTACACAAAAGAAAGAACATAATTCTTTAAATCTTTCGGAATTTTTGAGTTTATACAATGCAGTGGATGCTGTTTGTGCAAGTTTATTATGTATATTTATTAGGGCCACATGCCTTAACTACACATCTTTACAAGAGGAACTTTACCTATTTCCATACACAAAAATGAGTATTTCTCAGAGCAATTCAGTATTTTTTATTTTCTTGTTGCTAGAATATTGTTTGCCATGCTTAAATGACTCTTTTTTCATCCAGTAATTATAAATACACAGAAGCATATTTTCCATGTATTTACTATAATGGTGATGTTGGACATGGAAAAGCATGTATTGGTACAAAGACCCCAAAAAATAAAACACTCCACTGCTGTGTTAGTATACAACAATTAAAGCTCTCAAAATACTTTGAAGTACACTCACAAACTAAAAAGAGATCATTCTAAATAAGTCTGCTTATGCTTTAAAGTCACTATGTGCCCAGAATAATATTGGGAAGTTATTTGAAAAGTATATTCCAAATTCATGCCAAGTGAAAAAGGCACAAATACCAAACTTACCCTGTAACCAGGGTCTTCAATCAGGTCACAAGAGGCAGCATTAACATTTGTGTGCCACATTGTCTCTTTGATGCTGCAGCCATACATAAATACATTCTTTTTACGAGAGTGACCATGATAATCACAGTAGACCTACAACAAATCATTTGGTAAAATAAGCCAAGGCATATGGAATTCACATTTTATAAAAGTAACAGAAGGACAAACAAAAATTTTTATTTGTACCATTGAAAGCTCCAAAGAATTGGGAAATACAACGCCTTATATAACTAACTTGTGCATTAAGACAAAAAACGTAGGATTCATCTAAGGAAGGTTTAACTTTCTACCCTAGCAAAGGAAACAGATTTACATCTAAAAGTTTGCAGAAGACCAGTTCTCCAAGTCAACTTTAAGTGTGACACAGTTTATGAGACCGTATTAAAATGTTTACTTTACAGACTAGCTACATAGGCAAGGTTAAAAAGATTCAGAATTGCTTACACACACATACTCACCAAAGGTAAACGTTTTATAGCAGCCAGATATTGCAGTAACCCTTTAGCATGGTAAATAGTGGGATGCAGATCTGGATTTGGATTTTGCCACTGCCTGTTTAAATCTTCTCCACTTAAAGAGCAACGGTGGCTATTGTGGGGGGGTGGAAAAACGCATGATGTAGTCTGTATTATCATACTTTTAAATAAGCCTCCCCCCCACCTCAAGTTTTCCTCATCACCACTGCTCCTTTGGAAGGAGTCTGGTAAGAAACAAACTTCAGTTTTCTAATGTGCCAAATAATAGAAGTGCTTGGGGTTTTTTAAGTTATGTTACAGAAAAACTAAAGTTAAAGTAGCTTCTTATAGAAAGTCAATTGTAATCTTGCTTATTTGCTGTTGAAACTGAAGGCTTATGATCCTATTCAAATGCTAGTTCAAAATCAGGAATTTTGAATATATTGTATCTCTACAGTTTCGGTGTCTTGACTTCTGTAATATAAAGACTAATGTCAACCAGAATTCTGAGACTTGAAACATGAAGTTGTTAGGAGACAAGTAGCTGTGAGAAAAACAAGACAGACAAAAAAACCAAAACCAATCAAAAAAAACCAGCAAACAAAGACTGATCATCTCTGTATTCTGTCAACTATCAGCAAGAACTTTTAAACCTGCAGAAATTCATGTTCATGCAGTCATCTTCAGTACATTTGTCTTTAGCTTGTGTCTGCTGGGACAGATTTCTCAACCGTCCCTGTATTAAACTTTTACTTGTATTCTGAATTATTTAATTCCAGGTATTCTGTTAGATACATGCTTTTACATATAAAAAGACAGGGTTCTACTCAAATCCATAATAGGTTTGATTTTTATTATTTTATTTACAAAACCTTTTAAAATACTACCCATATCTAGGAAAGAAGGAACTGTAGAATCACCATACCAAAATTTCCATTTTATATGAATTTCCTGTAAATATAGACTGCTGAATGCTTACTCATAGCAGTATCAAAAGGTTCTGAAATATCCCCTAATAAATTTAAGAAAAGCAGTAGTAAGTGAAAGAATTACTATCATTAACTTGAAATCAGGATACTCTTACCCTTTCTCTTGCACACCTATTAACTTTCCCCCTTTTAAAATAACATTTGACAACAGCCATTTCCCTAAGATACAAGGACTGTTCTTTTTCATGAGAACAATGAACTTGTTTAGCTTTTCCTAAAAGCAGCTGTGCTCTCATATAACACTGGACACCTAAGACTGTAGTAAAAAGACAATTAAAATGCTATGAGAAATCACCTAGGAGTGATTATCATCCATGAACAACTGAAAATACTTTTTATAAAACTGAAATTCATGGAACAATATGGCTGCCCTTAAAAAGCCAAAAAACTGAAAAGTCCTAGCCACTTGTAAGTGTTGGGTTTTTTTTTTTTTTTTCATATTAAGTATTACATTTGTATGTTTCTGGGATTCATTTAGGTTTGGGGTTTTTTTGTTTTTTTAAGATAACAGATGCAAAGACTTAGAAGTACAGACTACATACTTGTGAGTAAACTTATGCTTACTTTCCATTGATGACACCATCTGGATTGAGCATAGGAATAATTTTGAAAATATAAGATTCTCGTAAACATTGGGCGCTTGGATTATTGCTCATAAGGTATTCCAGTGTTCCCTTCATAACCCAGCTTGCATTAGTCTCTCCAGGATGTACACGAGCAGATAGGAAAACATAAGGACGATTCCCTAGAAGAAGTATGCATAGAAGTTGCAAAATATGATTCAAGCTAAGTAACCAGTTTGTTAATTGAAAAAAGACGCAATAGCCAGCTTCATTTATTACAATGCAAAATACAGTATTTGGGAGTTGAGTATTATTGAGTATCAGTATTATTGATAGATCTTGCCAGATTATGATTATAAGGACTGCTCATTACAGAACTGTCACTTTGGAGCTTTCAATTTAATCAGACAATTACGCAGTCACAACTAGTTTGAGCTAGCAATTATGATATGATGACTTTGATGGGTTTTTTTCCAATAGGCAAGAAAAATATGGGGGTGGAGGAACAAACCAGGAATGCTGTCATAACTAAAGTTCACTTCAAATTGCAGTAGCTTAGATACTGGCTTTATAAAAGATTTTTTGACAAGCAAATAACCTGAGCATTTGGAGAAAAAACTTAGTCAGAAGACAGGTGTTCTTTTCCAAGAATTGTTGTCTGCAAAATGTAACACAGAAAAGTATCTAGCAACTAGGTTAAAATATATGAATATATATACTCTTATATATCCAGATATAAATATCCTTATTTAGGATATTCAGGATTAAATATTATTTAATACAAAGCAAATCCTGAACATTGACACCTCCTAATTTCAGGAAATTCATTCACCTTATTTTACATTTTTATTTTTACAATGTACAACAGTTAATACTATATTTTTTTCATAAAGAACTAGTTTTACATTATCTTCCATTCATGAGAAAAAAAAGTCTTACTTACTGAACTGACAGATATGTTCATAGTAATTGGACTCTGGCATGGCTGTAATAGTGACTAAGGGACAACTGTTGCCAGCCAGGGTCTCACAGAGAACGTCTTGTCGAAAATATATCTGTTGAGGGTTGTGCATAGATTCCAGCTTCTGAAGATGCATCTTCATCCCAAAAATAATGAAAAAATACTTCAAATCTTTTGCAGTCACATATCACAGCATATTCCACAAGTACTATTTAATCAATCTTTCTTTTTGTTGTTCTAAACAATGTTCAATTTTCCATCATAATTTTGACCATGAAATACCATTCTCTACATCTCTGACTGACTGAACAATTCTCTATAAAGGGTCTGTTTTTCCACCTGCTTCAAGGAAGATGAAGGCACAGAGGGTACATTATTTTCTACCAGATGATACAGTAAGGCTATGTGGAAGGTAAGAACTTCTGCTTCACTAAGGTTATCTGATCAGGGACCTTTTTCAGTACAAAAGGAGATACCAAAGGGAGAAGCAACAGACAGGAACAAACAAACAATCCTGGTAGATGAAACATAACAGAAACAATAGCAAAGATCAAAGTCTCAAGTCTCTTAACTGATTCTCTAACTGATAGGCCATTAAGAATCTACAGGCAAAGCTTTGGAGAGGGCCACCTGAGGAACAAGGAGGAAACAAGAGGAACACAAGGATGTGGGATAATCAAGGGGGTGCCTGTGGGACTATACAAAACTTATGCACCTGATCCCTACAGTCTGCCTTTAGCTATTGTTGGAAAATAACTCAGAGATTTAGAACAGTCTGACAGACAGGACAGTCTGAACCTCCCATTTGCTCTCCATTAGGATGCATCCTGAAATACTGGAATAAGTTTGGTGGGGATCCCCTAACAAAGAGAAAATTAAAAGAATACTGCAGTCAGTGGTGGCCGATGTATAAACTGGATGATGGGGAAAAATGGCCAGGGATGGGGACTTTGAGTTATAATACTATTTTGCAACTTATGTTATTTTGCAGAAGACAGGATAAATGGGGATGAGATCCCATATGTGGATTTGTGTTTTTTCTTTAAGAAATGATCACAAAATAACAAAAAAAGTGTAAATCGTTGATATCTGATTCAAATGTTTTGATGCTGATGGAGGATAAAAAGAAATTGCCTCGCTGTTGTTCTGCCTGTAGTATTGGGAAGAGGTGTTTGAAAGTGGACAGTGAAGAAGAGGATGTGCAATTGATGGTTTCCCCAGGAAGAGACCAGGACAGTGTAATTGAAAATAGGGAGAGAAGCAGTGAAGTAAGCTAGGGATTTAGTCCTATTGCAGGTAGAACTTGGGCACAGCAGAATCCTGTGATTCAGACTCTCTTATGCCAGGTGGTGGGGCCGGATGGAATGCCTGTGTATGTGAAAGTCCCTTTTTCAACCTCAGATTTAATGAATTGGAAGAAGTCTGCTGGATCATATAAAAAAAAATCCAGAAAACGTATATCAGACATTTCAAAAGATAATTGAGAATCACAACCCAGATTGGAAGGATATACAGCTGTTACTTAATACTTTACTTCTCCCTGAGGAAAAGAGAGTGGTGTTAGAAAAAGCACAGGAAGAAAATATGAAATTGAATAACAGAGACAGTCCAGAACGTTTTATGCCGACACAAGAACATGACTACAATCCTAATCTGGAGCAGGATGGCTAATGATTAAGCAGTATCAACAGTTGATTCTATATGGAGTGAAACATGGACTCCCCAAACCCAAAAAACTCACAAAGCTGTATCAGGTAGCACAGGGCAAAAATGAGGATCCATCTGCTTTTTGTGAAAGACTGTGCAAAACAGCTCGGAAATTGACGGATTTAGATGCAAAGGAGGCGGCTAACAAAGTAACATTTACCACCTTGTTTGTGTGGCAGTCAGCAGCAGACATAAGAAGGAAGCTGCACAAGGTAGGTAGTATGTCAGGAATGACTATCTCAATTGATTGAGATTGCTTATAAGGTGTATAACAACAGAGAAGAGTTAGAAAAAAAAGAAAAACAGAAGGAGAAACTAAAAGATCAGAAGCAAAATGCTGCAATTTTGGCAGCCGCATTCACCCAAGTGCAAATCTCATTTCAGGGAAGAGGTTTTCTGAGAGGACAAGGGCATGACAGAGGACAGAGAGCAGGAGGAAACACAGGGAGTAGAATCCCTTTGAGGAAAGATCAGAGTGCAATTTGTAAGGAAAAGGGACATTGGAAAAAAGAGTGTTCAAAGAAACAACTAACTAATAGGACACCCCCATCTGTACCCATTCTGGAGGCAGACCTGTTTATAAGTGGTACAGGAGATTCAGATTGACGGGGACCAGGGGTTGAGAAATTAGGTTTCCCCAGCTGAACTCCTGGTTTCAGTTAAGCTGGGGAATGAGACAGTTAAATTTCTAGTCGATACAGGAGCAACATATTCTGTACTAAATAGTTGTAAAGGACCTATGAGTAAATTCTCTTATGTCAGTGATTGGTGCCACGGGAAAATGGGAAATCAGACCTTTCTTTCAACCAATTAAGTGTGAAAGTGGAAACAAAGTACTTACACATGAATTTTTATATATGCCAGAATGTCCCCTATATTGGGAAGGGATTTATTGAATAAATTGGGAGCACAAATAACTTTTGATCCGAATAAAGTCTAAGTACATATTCCACAAAATAATGCCTGGGAGGCACAAGTATATGTGTTACAGGAATTGTCAGAAACAAAGAATGTTGAAAATAAGGAAGGACAAATTGAAGCCCCCTCTGAAATCATGAATGCAGTGATTTCTTTTGTCTGGGCAACTCAGAAACCTGGAAGAGCCAAATCAGCAGAACTGGTAAAAGTGGAACTGAAACCAGAAGTGAAGCCGGTAAGACAAAAACAATACCCCATGCAACTGGAAGCTCAGGTTGGACTAGAACCTATAATTAATAATTTTTTAAAATATGGACTGTTGCGAGAGTGTCAGTCTGAATGCAATACCCCAATCTTGCCTGTTAAAAATTCACATTCACAAGACTATTGGTTAGTACAAGATCTAAGAACTACTAATCAAATAGTGATTGGTGTACATCCAGTGGCACCTAACACTTACACTCTGTTAACAACGATAGTCAATTCAAATGTTTATGTTACAGTGTTGGACTTAAAAGACACTTTCTTTTGCATTCCATTGGATAAACAAAGTCAGAAACTGTTTCCCTTTGAGTGGGAGAGCCCTGTAATGGGACGCAAAATGCGGTTACGCTGGACAGTGCTTCCTCAAGGATTCAAAAAACAGTCCTACAATTTTTGGTAACTTATTGGCAAAAGAACTGGAACGCTGGCAAGGTAAAAAGCCTACCACTACCTTGCTACAACATGTAGATGATATCTTGTTGGGAGCAGACATGGCTGAAGAATGTAAAGAGACCACTATTGATTTATTGAACTTTCTAGGATTGGCAGGATATAAAGTGTCACAAAAGAAAGCACAAATTATGTGGAAAAATGTGATTTATCTTGGATCTGAAATATCCCAAGGAGAAAGGAAACTAGGGGTTGAGAGAAAAGAGGCAATTTGCCAAATTGCCCAGCGGCCCCCCCCCCCCCCCCCCCCCACCACAAAAA